ATATAAGAAGCCTTCCATGTCCAGCATAAACACTTTGTTTGTATCTTTTAGCTCTCTCAGATCTAGCTACAATCTCTCTTTCTAGTCCAAATTTCCTGATTCAGCTTTTCCCATTATCACTGTGTTTCAGTGTACCAAAGTGTATTTTCTCCACTATAATGTCTTGTTTTCTGTCTCCTTTCCCTGCTTGCCTTAAGTGGGGCCACATTTCTCTTCTCCTTCATGTTTTCCCACCAAAATCCACATTTTATCCAAAGCCTCATTTCATCAGTGTTTTTTCACAATATCTTGATTCATACTTATGCTAATCATGTGATAAACCATTTTTTTCCTCACAAAGATATTTAATGAAACCTCCTCATTGTGGTTCCAGAAAGGACAATTTAAACCAAGAACCAGACAATAATGTACCATCATATTTCTGTGTCAATCACATGCCTATTATGAAAGTATTTTCTTAACAAAGAGGAAAAAAGAAGGAGTTCTTCAAAAATCATTCAAAGCCCAAGCACTATTTAAATTTGGTACTTGCTAAATAGTACAAAATGTATACTTTAGTGTGAAAGATTACTGATGTAACAACTATATTTATATTATTAGAAAACAGAAAATATTTATTTAAATTACTGCTTAAGATGACAACAGGAAAGCATAGCATGCCCTTGTGTTTGCATCTCTCCCACTTCTCCCAACTTTTGCATATGAATTCCACTTGTCTATGATTTATGCCTGTTGTAGAATCTTGACTAACTTTACAGTTTTGAAACCCTTCTCAGGACAGTCAGAGCTGTGAGTTGGAGCTTAGCACAGCTGGATGAAATGCAGATGTAACATTAGACCATGGTTGACTTTGAACTTTAAAGATCAGAGGAATTTATATGAGAAAGGGAAAACAGGACACATGACTCTATAGCAGGGATGGAAATCATGTGCTTTTCAGATGTTGTTGAACTGCAATTCTCAGCCTTCCTCACCATTGGCTATGCTGGCTAGGGCTGCTGGGAATCACAATCCAGCAATGTTTGGAGAGCTGTACAATACCTGTCCATGTTGTAGAGGACACTCTGAATCGTGTTTAGTAGATCCGACCCAAGGATTAAAGGAAGTATCCTACCAAATTATTGTGGATCATTACACTGTTACAGTTAGCCAATGAAAAGAGTTGTATAAATGGCTCATGAATAAATACATGAAAAATAGTTTAAGGAGGACATATCTTTTAAATATTTTACACTGGTCTTGTTCTCATCTGATTATGCATTTGTCTGTCTTTTGCAGACAGCATTTAAATGAATCTTTAATTTTTCAGGCTATGACCTAGAAAGTGACTTCTAGGTTTCTTCCTTACATGAAACTTAAAACAAACAAAATGAAATGGAACACATTTTACATTTATCACAATAACCACGTCAGGTGCTGTAGCACTTTTTACCTGACAAGTCAAAACTGTAAGACATGCTAAGAGGCCGGATTGCTGGAAAAAAGAAAGAAACAAGAAAGAAAAATGACAAAAGAAACACAATTTGTTGTTAAGGAAGCAAAAGAAATAGTTAGTTTTAGGAGGGACACATTTCAAATTCTAATGTACATGCCAATCTAAATCTGAAATGTGCCAGACACTTTTTCTTTACAGTTGTAAAGAAGTAAGTGTGAACACTGCAACATCATCACTAGAGGATGCAAACAGATTCAGTTGGATTCAAACCCACAGTTCCTCAAAAAGAAGGGCTCCTTCCATTCATGGAAGACCCTTGAAGACAGTGGAGGCTACCACTTCAAGAAGCTAGAGAGAAGCAATCTTTCCCAATCTTGCCTCCCCCCAGCATCCCCTCAGCCATCTCCCATAATATTCTGGAAGGTCCTTCAACCCTCAAGATAATTTTTTTTCTGAAGCCCTGGGGTGCAAGAGAGAAGGTAAATCAGCAAATATTCCTTGTCTCCTGTTTCTCTTGTGGAAGTGTCCAGCTGATGAACAATTCTGCACAATCCTGAATCCAACATCTGGA